CCTAAACCCTATAAACCCTAACCCTGAAGCTTGCTACTATGAGAAGAGGATCTTGGAACCCTGAAGCTGCAGGCCTTTGGGGAGAGCCATGCATGGACGGTACTTCCGACACGCTTAGGGTTTAGGGTTTAGGGTTTAGGGTTTAGGGTTTAGGGTTTAGGGTTCAGGGTTTTCCCCAAGACTCCAAGTACACAAACAGTACCTACTTTGGGGTCTAAAGTCTATAAATAGTACCTACTTTGGGGTCTAAAGTCTATAAACACTACCTACTTTGGGGTCTAAAGTCTTTAAACAGTACTACTTTGGGGTCGAAAAGCTATAAACATTATCTACTTTGGGTCTAAAGTCTATATAAATAGTCTCTACTTTGCGTTTAAAGTCTATAAGCAGTACCTAGCAAGGGCTAGTTGGAGTCTTGGGGTTTAGGGTTTCAGATTGAAGGTTTAGGGATCGAAGTTCAGTCCATGCTACTGGCTGCAGCAACCGGAGGAGATGCTGGGCTGCTGGCTGCACCCTTCTTGTCTCTGGCCTGACACTTCTGGCAAGGCAAGGCAAGTTTAGGGCCCTAAACCCTAAACCCTAAACAGGCAAGTTTAGGGCTTAGGGTTTTGAGTTTGGGGTTTAGGGTTTAGGGTTTTATATGGATAGTTCTCTAAATTAGGGTCCCTTTTTAGGTCTCCAATATAGTCCGGCACCCTTATAAAAAGCACCCCAAAAGGGACCCTTCTTTTTGAAAACTACCCATATAGGGTTTCGAACCCTTGACCCTAAACCCTAGACCCTAAACCCTGAACCGTAAAACCCTAAACCCTATAAACCCAAACCCTAAAAACTACCCATATAGAGTTTAGGGTCTGGGGTTTAGGAATTAACCTAAACCCGAAACCCTAAACCCTAAACCCTAAACCCAAACCCTAAAACCCTACCCATATAGGGTTTAGAACCCTAAACCCTAAACCCTAAACCCAAACCCTAAAAACCTACCCATATAGGGCTTATAGGGTTGAGGGCTTAGCTTCGAGGCCCCGGTCTCTCACAGGAGCTTCCCACCTTCTCCCTCACAAGGCGCTCCTTCCGTGCAGCCTTGGCCCAAGGAGACGCACTTTCGATCAACTAACAGGTTAGGGTTTAGGGTTTAGGATTTGGGTTTAGGGTTTAGGGTTTAGGGTTTAGTCATGCCCACGGACACACTGCAATAAGGATGCGGCATCAAGAGCGAGATCAAGGTCACCCATCTCCTCAACAGATTGGGCTTAAATAGGGTTGAGGGGTCTCCGTGTCTCCATGACCCTTCCGAATGACGACGCGCGCCCATTTTCGGCTTGGCCGATGGTGCTAAGGTTTCTAAAGATACAGCGACGCGGCCTGACGCCAAGCAGCTCAGCAGTCTGGGCTGTGCAGAGCATAGCAGCTAAATCAGAATCTGCCGCCAGAGACCAACAACCTACTGCACAGCAGAATCTGATGCTCGGGTTGAAAGACCCGAAAAACATCTCGTCTCAGCCGAACAGGCCACCTGAATACAGGGGCTGCGTGTGCTTGCAGGCTCGAAAAAAGTTCAGTGTGACCTTCGGCAAACGTCGTAATGTAGACCCGCCTGAGCACTCGGATCCTGTAGTAGAACCCCTTTGAGCACTACACCCATGAAACCTCAACCCTAAACCCCTAACCCCTAAACCTTAGACCTTAAACCCTAAACCCTAAAACCCCTAACCCCTAAACCTTAAACCCTAAACCCTAAAACCAATAACCCCTAAAACTTAAACCTTGAACCCTAAACCCTAAAACCCATAAACCCTAAACCCCGACTTTGGCCAAGAAGGTCATCAAGTCGTCTACGTTTTGAAGGTCTCGAGACGAAAAGCTGAGTGGAAGGCCGAACCAATCGTCTACAGCCTTGCAGAGAGCATGAAAGCTTAGGGCCTAGGCCCTACTTAAAGGATCATGGGACTTAGTAAGTAAGGTTATAAGTCCCTTGATTGGGGTTATAAGTATAGTTACCTTAGTTATAACCCTACTTCCTAAGTCCCATGATCCTTTAAGTAGGCCCTAGGCTTTAGGGCTTCGGGGTTTGGGGTTTAGGGTTGAGGCTTGTTTGCGGCCCCTTTTCCGTCTGCAAGGTTTGCGTTCAGAACTGCTAGATACGACGAGGCAGTTGGACAGCATGAAGGTTTTGGGTTTAGGGCTTCGCGGTTAGCAAGCTACACACTTGGCAGTTCTTGCTTTTGGTGGGCAGGGGATGGAGCGGTAAGAAGTATCTACGTCTCGCGATTCTTGCACCCTAAACCCTAAACCCTAAACCCTAAACCCTAAACCCTAAACCCTAAACCCTAAACCGTATCCACGGGAGCAACCGGACAAAGGCCCGGAAACTCGTGTCACTTCGGTTGGAAGACGCCGAAAGCAGGACGAATGACACTGGAAGAACTACACATGCTGACAGATGGCTTAACCCTAAACCCCGAAGCCTAAACCCTGAACCCCTAAACCCTGGACCCCCAGAGCTCCAAACCCTAAACCCTATAACCCTAAACCCTAAACCCCAAACTCAAAAACCCTAAGCCCTAAACCCTATAACCCTAAACCCTAAACCCTAAACCCCAAACCCTAAACCCTAAACCCTACACCCTAATCCCCAACTTGCTGAGAAATGAGCCGTCACAACTTCACTTCGACCGCGGGGCATTCGAGCCTCAGCTTCGTTCCTAAGGCTCCATGTACCAATATAGTAGATGCTTAAGCCTTAAAATACCAACATAGGGACCCCTTTAAGGCCTAAGTATCCTAAACCCTAAACCCTAAACCCTAAACCCTAAACCCTATAAAGGTGCATGGAGCCTCAGCTTCGTTCGCCCGGCCCACTCAGTCCCCTCTCCGCGTGCTGAAGGGTTTATAGGGCCTGTTTAGGGCTTTAGGGTTTAGGGTTTAGGGTTTAGGGTTTAGGGTTTAGGGTTTAGGTTTTAGGGTTTAGGGTTTAGGGTGTAGGGTTCAGGGTTTAGGGTGTAGGGTTAATTCAGGGTTCAGGGTTCAGGGTTTAGGGTTCATTCAGGGTTTAGGGTTTAGGGTGTTAACACTTTCAATAGGGTTTTCAGGTGTACGATACTATAGTTCTAAGGAACCCCAAAATGACAGTGGCAATTTAAACGATTGCCAAATTACTATGAATACCTAGGGACTATAAGACGCCGTAAATGAGTAGTAACAGTATCCCCTTACAACCCCTATGTATTTGTGGTGCAAGATGCCGCAACATTCAAGTCCAATTTTCAAGTCCCCTACACTACTAACCCTAAACCCCAAGCCCCAAACCCTCAACCCTCAACCCTAAACTTTCAACCCTAAACCCTCAACCCTAAACCCTAAACCCTACTACTTAAAACAAGACCTCTAAGGCGACTGCAGATGCTGTGGCCGTCGACTGCGACATGACTTCAGCCTGCGCCTCCTGCTCAGCCTGCAGTTGCACCACCTTGGCGGCGGTATAAACAAGTAAATAGACATAAGCTGATATAGATATGTAAACGAACAAACAATATAAATATATATTTATATATATATATATATTTATTTATTTATTTGTTTATATTATTTATAACAGTATGAATACATATGTAAATAAACAAACAAGTGCACAAATATGTATATATATATATATATGCGAGAGAGAGAGAGAGAGAGAGAGAGGCTCCCCGATGTCAGAGAACCAGGGAAGACCATTTTTTCGGGTTTGGGGTTGCATGTAGGAGCCTTCATAATTAGAATAGGGTTTTGGGGGGCTCCTTATTGCAATTCTAGTATACCCCAAAACCCTATTGAAAGTAGAGTTTTGGGGGCTCCTTATTGCAATTATACTATAATGAACCCCCCAAAACCCTATTCTAAGTATTCAGGCCCCGATATTAGGCATGAAGTCTGATGTCGCTGGGCCCGCCGCCCGTTCGGACTCCCACATCAGAGGAGGGCCCAGGCTCGAATCCCGGAGGTAAGAGGTGGCTTCGACCATCTCCTTCTCTGGGTGGGAGGTTGTTTAGGTTTTTTTTGTTGAGGGCCTTGTTCAGGGTTTAGGGTTTAGGGTTTCGGGGCCTCAAAAAGTATCTATGAACAGGTACCTCTATAAGAACCATAGGGGAAACTTTAAGATATTCCCAAAGTGCCGTCTCCTTCTCCTCCTTTTCGAGCAACTCTGCCTCTTCTATCTCTGCCGGTGGATTTGCCAACTCTTCCGGCGGCCGCGCCGCGGGAATTTCCGCGGCAGCCTTCGCTAAAAACCCGCCGGGTGCATTTCTATGTTCGGCTAGGAGAAAAGCGCGCCTGTTTCGTCGACTGGTCTTCCTCCCCAGCCTGACCAGAGCACGACCGATGCAGACTGTCATAGCTGGAGCAACCGCTACAAGAGCATGAGCAACGAGATCAATCATTCTGCTCGCACTCCTCGGCACACAGCAAGGCTGAGAACAACAATAACAACGACTACATTTCGAACTCCAGAAGCAACAGGAACAAGAGTGACATGTAAGACAGAGGAGTCATCACAGCCAAAAGCACCAGGCCAATCTGAAAGCAGCTTCGTCGTCATCGTCAGCGTCGTCATCAGTCTCATCATCATTACCATCACCGTTATCATCACCATCATCACCATCATCACCACCACCATCATCACCATCATCATCGTCATCATCAGCATCATCATCATCACCGACATCATTACCATCACCATCATCATCGCCACCATCACCACCGCCATCATCACCACCACCACCACCACCATCATCATCAGCATCATCATCAGCATCGTCGGCATCATCATCATCATCATCATCATCATCATCATCATCATCACCATCGTCATCATCATCAGCATCATCATCATCATCACCGTCATCATCAGAAGTATCACCATCGCCATCATGACGAAGCATCAGTGAAGGCATTCGACTCGGTGTTTTTGGAACACTCAGCCTCAGGACCACGTAAGCTCGCAAGCATCGGCGCCAGATAATCTCCACGGCTGCTCGTCTTGCTGCGGGACCTTTTCGGGGGTTTTCTGCTCTGAATTCAAGAAATGCACACCCTAAACCCTAAACACTCAACCCTAAACCCTAAACCCGATACGAGACTGAACTCTGAAGGAACTGATGGGACGAGTAGCTCTGGGAAAGAGATTCGGAGAGCTGCCGCCTTGGCCTCAGCAGTCACTGCGAGGAAGGCGAACGGCTCTAGGTCGGCTTTGATCCCGATTGATATATCGCTGCAGAGAGTACCCATAGGCCCTAAAGTAGTTCCTTTTTGGGGTTCATATATAGAATCCTATAAGGTAACCTCGAAAAGGAACTACTATGGGGCCTATTTGTAGGGCCTACCTGTAGTCTCCATTGTAGTTCCTTTTTGGGGATACCTTATAAAATCCTTAATATATAATTGGTTAAACCAAAAGAAGGAACTACAATGGAGACTATAGGTAGCGTTTCTACTGCCAAAGGCCCCAGAAGGCCCCAAAGGCTCCGTTTGATCAGGGCATGCCCTGGGCAACTCGAGAGGTGCCGAGATGATAAGGGTTTAGGGTTTAGGGTTTAGGGTTTAGGGTTTAGGGTTTAGGGTTTAGGGTTTAGGGTTTAGGGAAGAGCAGCATCCAAGCCCCGGGCAGCTAGGCTGGTGGGTGAAATGGATCCAGCATCGGCATAGCTCCTGGGTGCTCGCCCTTCGACTAATGAGCTACGCCACAGCAAGGATCAGGGTCTGCAAGACAGACCCTAAACCGTCTGATCCTAATCCTGACTACAAGGACACCTGAAGAAGTTGCCCCTCACCTTCGGAAATCCTCAAACAGCAACCAAGATGTGCAAGCAGAGATCAGGCAGGTGCGACACCACCCTAAACCCTCAACCCCAAACCCTAAACCCTGAACCCAAAACCCTGAATGTACCCTACACCCTGAACCTTGAACCCCAAACCCTGAACCCCAAACCCTAAACCCTAAACCCTAAAACCTTAACCCTAAACCCTAAAGCCTAAACCCTTACTAAACCCTAAACCCCAAACCCTAAAACCCTGAAACCCCGAACCAAGCTTGCTGCCAGGGGTCTGAAATGTGAACTCAGGCAGAGCCATGCTTTCGCGCTAAACCCGAAATCCCAAACCTTAAACCCTAAACCCCAAACCCTAAACCCTAAACCCTAAACCCTAAACCTCAAACCGCGCTGCGAGCTTTGGCATCTCCTAAGCATCTGGAGCCGGAACTGCTCATCAATCGAAGGTCGGCTTTAGGGTTTCGGGTTTAAGGTTTTCAGGGTTTAGGGTTTCGGGGTTTCGGGTTTCAGGGTTTCGGGGTTTCAGGGTTCCAGGGTTTCGGGGTTTAGGGTTTCAGGGTTTCGGGGTTTAGGGTTTGAGTCTCAGGGTTTCAGGGTTTAGGGTTTCAGGGTTTAGGGTCTAGGGCTCAGGGTTACTGTAACTATCCAGGGGGGTGATGGAAAAGCAGTGCCGCTGCCAGCTGAATGGAATGAGCAGTTGTGCCCAGACCGTCCGAAAATCCCCTCAATTAAGGAATATACCTTCAATAATAGCAGTAATAATAATAATAATTTACGTTATTATTGTTAAATATTATGGAATCCCTATGCTCATTTAAGGTATACTCCTTAGTTAAGGGATTCTCGGAAGGCCTGGGTGGCTCTGCACCGCGCCTGGTGAAAGATGCTTAGCACTCGGAGGCACTCTGCCTGGCCATGCAAGGTGTCGCTCACCGAATGTAGGGGCCTTAAATCCCTTTAAAGGGTTCCTTAAAGGGTTCTATAAGGGCTGCTTTTAGGGTTTAGGGTTTAAGGGCCTTAAATAATTAGACAAGGGTTTTGGAGTGTCTTATACTAGATTTCTCATAAGGAACCCGGAGCCCATCAAAATAGTATTGGTAATTATATAGGTTCCTATATTGCCCTGTCCCAAAGATGAGCCCCCTTACGGGTTTGCAGCGTTCGTTGGCTTAGGGTTTAAGGTTTGGGGCTTTCCTAACAAACCGAGACAAGAAGGTAGGTAGGATCTCTTCACAAGGAAGTGTATGCCTATGCCCAGTCGCCCCCTGAGTTGTCGATTCAAGCCTTCTTTACAACATGTGTGCCGAATATCCTAGACAACGGTAGCGTTTGGGGGTAGGCTTGGGGTATACTCTGCTACAGGCATAGAGGAACTATCAGTGCTCACCTAAGGTAGGGGCCTTAATCACTAGAGTAAGGTTAAGTGGGATATTCTACTATAAATAAAATAAGGAGCCCCAAAATTGGTATTGGTAATTATGTAGGCCCTTATATTATGTCTTGGTGGGCTCTTCACCACCTCCAGGCTTCAGGGCACTATGTGGCAGGCACGGCTTGGGGTTTGGTGCTTAGGGTTTCGGGGATCAAAGCCCTGAACCCTGAATCATAGGCCCTGAACCCTGAAACCCTACACCCTAAAACCTCAATCCTAAGAACGTAAACCTGAAAGCCCCTCCGAGCCAGAACCCTAAACCCTAAACCCTAAACCCTAAACTCTAAACCCTAAACCCTAAACCCTAAACCCTAAAACCCTAAACCCTAAACCTTAAACCCTAAACCCTGAACCCCAAGCTCTAAAGGATCCTCTGGAACCCACAAAGCAAGAAGCCTGAAGAGTTCGGGTAGGGTTTTAGGGTTTAGGGGTTTAGGGTTTAGGGTTTAGGGTTTAGGGGTTTAGGGTTTAGGGTTTAGGGTCTTGGGTTTTGGGTTTAGGGTTTAGGGTAGGGTTTGGGGGGGTCATCTTATGCTGCACCGTCTAAGAAGGAACCCTAAAGAACAATATGGGCGTAGTTAAAATGAAAAGGGGGCTAAATAATCATCGATATTATTGTTCGGGGCTTCCTTACTGTAAACATAGTAAAATCGGCTCCAAAGCCTTATTCAATATAATACTCAGGCCCTAAACCCTAAACCCTAAACCCTAAACCCTAAACCCTAAACCCTAAACCCTAAACCCTAACTACATTCAACCCTAAACCCTGAAGCCGGGACCCCAAAGCCCTTGGCCCCGCAGCCCGTCCCTCGTGGCCTCTGCTCCCCGGTTGTTCTCGTTCTGCGACGAAGCCATGCCCTGACCGCAATGTGAGTAGTTCTCTAAACAAGGGTCGCATTTTAGGTCTCCGGCATAGTACAGCACCGTTATAACAAGGACCCGAATTTCGAGAACTACTCTTTTGGGGACTAATTCGAGGTTCAATAAGGCTCTGCTACAAGGGCTCTTGCAAAATTCGAGATCGCATATGTCGGCTTTTTGAACCCACCTATTTAGGGATCTTTTCCAACCCTAAACCCTAAACCTTGAACCCTAAAACCCTAAACCCCAAACCTTAAACCCAAAACCCCAAACCTTAAACCCTAAACCCCAAACCTTAAATCCTCAACCCCAAACC